GGTGTGTCATTACAGTAGTGTATTACAATACAAAGTATGAACTTTGTATTGTAATACACTGTTATATTACTTGACAGAGATTGACTTACTTAATAATATAATAATTTTATTTTTTACTTAATATAATTTATTGTGGGATGAACGGATTTCATATGGCGACTTAGACTGCAAATTGAGCTCGACAATAATGTTAATATACGAGAGCAGTAGATGCATTGTTTCGGCGCGATATCCTCAAAGTGCATCCAAGGAGGACTGTACTTTCATTTAGACGCCGTTCTTTCTTTCACTTATTAAACACGCATTAAAACAAATAATAAAACTATCTTCATACAAGTGCTTAAGTAATTCAAACACAAAAATTAATATGAAATATTACTAAACAATTACGAGCGACTAGCGATTTTACAAAAGTTGCGAATTAAAAATTAAGTAACTACTTGCGGAGAACTACTGGCTGGCCCATGAAAAATATAAACACAAATACCTATATTAAAATTCAGACGTACCATACCATATACCATAAAAATGTACAAAAAAAAAAAAACTACGTTATATTTATATACCTTATCGTCTATGAGTTAAGATGGTAAGTAATCATATCATTAGTATTTTTGTACCGCCACATTCACTGATATAAGTGACACAAGTGGCGTGGCTGAATTGTGTATTGTATAGTTTTCACTTTTCTCATTATTAACTCAATATTAATATACATGAAGAGAGTAGACTTGCGCAAAACATCACTTGCCAATGTAATGTGATATGACATCACTTTTACAGACAGGTGATATTACTCGAAAACATTACACATCACTCTTAACATTACTCGGTGCGTTCAATAGATACTGTGACGAATACATTGTATCTATACACCCGAATCATTACTTAAGTGATGTGTTCATACACATCACTTAAGTAATGATTCGGGTGTGTCATTACAGTAGTGTATTACAATACAAAGTATGAACTTTGTATTGTAATACACTGTTATATTACTTGACAGAGATTGACTTACTTAATAATATAATAATTTTATTTTTTACTTAATATAATTTATTGTGGGATGAACGGATTTCATATGGCGACTTAGACTGCAAATTGAGCTCGACAATAATGTTAATATACGAGAGCAGTAGATGCATTGTTTCGGCGCGATATCCTCAAAGTGCATTCAAGGAGGACTGTACTTTCATTTAGACGCCGTTCTTTCTTTCACTTATTAAACACGCATTAAAACANTTTTCATTGATTTGTTATTATTATACTGTTTTTGTTTAGTGCTCAGTTTTTTGTTTAGTTTTAAGATTGTTTGTGTTTAAATTTGTTTTAGTATTGAGTGTCCCTTGGCATTTATACTATTCGTTAACAAAGATGCCACCAAAGCATAATAGTGTTTTAAATCGACGGCCGACAAACATAATTTTTGATTTTTTTTTAAAAAGAAAAAGAAGAAGGCGTAAAAGATGTTGACAGTTTTATTTAGAGTTGCTAACGATCTGGTGTATCGCAACGCACAGTACAGCGGATCGCAACTGAAGGCAGTGTTCGGGCTTACTTTCGAATTAATTTAATTACGTTATTTTTACCGCTTTCTGTCTTAATTTATTATTTTTTTATTACCTCTCTTTAATTTATTACGTTATTTTTATAGCTTTCTCTCTCATAGTGTTTTGATATTCATTTTATTTGTACTTGGTCCCTGTATATGGAAATTTTAATTCGTATTTTGATTTAAAAAAATGAATGCTAATAACACTTTTTTTTACAAGTGTACATGCGCGAAAGTTGACCTGCGGCTATATTCAGACTCGCCAAGTTACGTCGGTCGTACTGTACCTAGCGGCCAGGGCATACGGTTCAAAATCACTAGGAATAATTCCGTGTCGCTTGCTCATTTATTTTGCGTAGATCGGTCTGTCTCGCTCGCTCGGTTCCGTTCGTGTATTAAGCAACATTACACGACAAAGAAAGAAACATGTTGGGTGATAGTGTGATGTTTGTTTCCTTCGCGTAATGTGTGATGTTGCATTACATCGTAGAGTAATATTACCGGAGTAATATCACTCGCATTACTTACACATGTCTATTGTATAGTTTTCACGTTTCTCATTATTAACTCAATATGAATATACATGAAGAGAGGTCAAAGGCTTTTTGTTTAGTTTGTGTATGTGATACTTTATATGTGCGTTTTGGAATTAATAGGTACCGACAGTTCGATGTTTTTTGAACTTCAATTCCATTCGAATAATAGCTGAAAAATTATTTTTGTTATGACATTTTTTCCAAAATTTAATCATTAAATTGATCTCCTGTAGAGCTGCAAAGATGTCGCATAAACCGAATAGCGTTTCACTCCTCGATATAATATGATTTCTTTAACTTCGAAGAAGGCCGTCAATAAGTTTTGTACCGCTCGACGTCGCCCTAAACATATCGCACCTTCGGTAAGACAAGGGCCGAAGTGCTAATTTTAAAAATGATCAGGAGAGACGTTTTAAGATTTTTATAGATTTAAATTGTGTTTTTCTGCCCATATTAATGTAAAATAGTATTTTATTTATAGCAAAAATATACCTTATACATGTGAATATAAATATGTAATTTAAAAGACTGAGTTATTTATTTATTTATACTAATTATTTAATGAAATATTAATGTATGCCTACAATTATGCCATTATCCCACCAACATTTAAATAAATGTGCAGTTGCGACCAAAGTTACCCATTATATTGAAATGACTTATTAAATGAAAATACTACTTATTTTCTACATCTTTATTCTTTTTTTTCTTAGGAAAATCTTTATCAATGATAAAATAAAACTAAAATAAAAAAAAATAACATAAAATTTACTTCTAAAAGGTTTACATTAAATCTATAAAATGCCACATATTCCTTTGTGGAATGCCAAGTAAATGCGTAAGACATATGTGCTCTGAAATTAGGCATATTATGTACACAAAATGTGACATGTCTTTCCAAAATATAAAACAAAAAAGGGCATATTTACCTTAATGACCCTTATGGTCCAGTACACAACCAATACTCGCGCGGGCGATGCCGCAAATGACCAATAAGATTTTGTCGCGCCAATATCATCCAAAAAACGAACGAATGGTACAAAGACACTTTTGCCTTCTGGCGAAAATAAACTGAATCTATTGAATGTCTTTGTTCCTACAGGTAGAAATTAGTTTTTAAGGCCCTTTGGCATATTTAACTCATTTTCAGAAATTTTAGCACTTCGGCCCTTGTCTTACCGAAGGTGCGATATCATTACGGATCCTCCCGATCCATTAACGGTGCCTTTAGGTAACACAAGCACCGGTCACCGTCCTCGTGGAACCCGTCGCTTGCGACAAAGGGCTCGACGAGTGAATTCAGTCCGGCCCTATCTTGACAACGAGATGCAGGTAGCGCGTCCCTTGAGCAACCTACGTCGTCCGGAAGGTGAGATGTCCTCGGTCGCCATTCACCTAGTCCGAGAGGATCGGGCGAATAGCCCCGATAGTCCCCCGGTAGATGGGGTCCACTATAGTAGAATTATTTTGTCCGTGCAGTTTGGGTCGTCATAAATAGTGGGAGCGGTGAAGCGAATATTTCGCTCTCTCTTGCACTCACGAGCCTTGTGGACGGGCATAGTGATGCGCATTATTGTTTTCGATAAGCGTTATCGATAGTGTATTTAGTTTTGTCATTTTATGGGTTAGTGATAAAAATAAAAGTAAAAATCACTAATCGAACACTTACACCACATAATTAATGAGAACGGCAGAAATTAACACTTTGTAACTTTTCGGGATCTATATTCATTTCAGTGAAAATTTTTAACACATTGTTGATAACAACACGTGCAAATATTATTTTGAATGAATCCTACCGTTTTGGTACAAAACAAAGGAGTAGTCATTGTGTCACTAAAGAAATTCAGAGAGTGAATTCATAAAAACACATTTCTCTTCGACATATGTACTATAATTTGCAGGTAAGTACAACAAATTACTCATAACATAACAATGTCTCACCACCCTTCGTATACCGCCCCGCCGCCGTGTACTTGCCTTCGATGACTCATTTGTTTTTATGGACAATGACATTGCGCCCGCGCAACATTCTCACCGCCCTAGCCGGGCTATGTTTTATGACCCAAACTGCACTGACAAAATAATTCTAATATAGTCGGTGAGATCACGCCTCGAGCACGACCCGCGGAGATCGGAGCCTTCGCCTTCCAACTTTCGCTGAGCCAGAGCGCGGTTCCCCCTGGAACGGATGTCGTATGGTCGGCCGCGTAAACCGCTGGACCGCCTCCGCCTCCAGGTCCTAGAGAGGCGTCCTGGCATGCACGCACGCCGCTTGGAATGAGACAACGTGGTACCCGCCCTGGATAAGGATAAGAAGAAGAAAGCCTAAAGGTTAGGCTGTATGTGAAGATGCCTATGTCATGCCTATTGGTAAAATGGAACATGGAGTTAAAAAGTACCTACAACTAAATAGTAACTCTATCGGAATTACATATTACTCAACTGACTCAGTTGTGCGAATTACTCTGATTTGTTTTAATATATTGTATGTCATGTTTAATAACGGTATAATGTAATAACGGTGGTTTTTAACTGTTTAGTAGCTGTGAATAATAATTGGCCAAACGTGGGAAAATGAAACAAAGCCGCTGAAAGTAGCTACTCAGGATCTTCCAAAATAATTTCATCCTTCTTCTTTTTTCTCTTTTATTTTTTTGCTCCTAACACTTTTCATAAAACAGAATGTCCAAAAAATTAAGCTGTGTGATGTGATGCCTTTCAATTCTGAAAAATGGCACTTAACATTTTTTTTAAGGGATTTTATGACCTGGTAACTGAGACCTTTAAGTCATGTCTTATTTTAATTTATATTCATATTTTTATGAAAAATGATATTATGGAGTGAAATGAAATGAAGATGATTAATTTGAGACATTAATCAACTGGGATGAAATTAAATGACAGAAAATGAGATGATGGGATGAAATATAATCTCAGTAAAATGGTGGTCATTTCCTAAGATTTTTTCAGTGGACTTTTTGGAGGATCCCGAGAAGTTACGTCCAGCGGCTTTGTATCATTTTCCCAAACTTATGCACTTTCACAGATATTAAACAGTTAATAAACCACCATTATTACACATTTAAACCTGAAGAAACACTAAATAGACAAAATAAAACAAATCACACAACTTCACTCTTCGCGTTCCCGCCAAAAACTCCGGCACTGTACAGACTAAGTTGTTATCATAGATTATACACTTAATTTGTTGTCATTATTGTCAAAGCGGGTGATTTCTTATTTTCATATGATCTTGACTGATTTCATGATGAACAATTAATGGTTTAACTTTAAATTAGTTTGTAGTTTTTAAAACCTAGACATAAACTGTTTTCATGCTGATTCTTAATACGTTGACTATATTAATACAAGTAGTTTTTATAGTGTTTATGTCAATATTGTCAATGAATATATTAAAATATTTCACTGGTACTTTAAGAACAATGGCCACGGTTGCTCCTGCTCTATTCGTCAACCATGGAGGTGGACCTCTGCCGCTGTTGGGGGACAAGGAACACGCTGGACTAACTGTATTCCTGAGAGACGAAGTTAAAAAGCATGTGAACCTAAAAGAATTGAAAGCGATAATACTGGTCACAGCGCACTGGGAGGAAGACGTCGTTACCATTTCATCCGGTAAACACCACGATTTATACTTTGACTACTACGGCTTCCCCCCTGAATCATACAAATACAGATACGACGCGCCAGGGAATCCTGAATTGGCCAATAGAATACACGAAAAACTTAAAAACTCCGGTATAGACTCTAAATTAGATCCAAAACGAGGTTGGGACCACGGAGTTTTCGTTCCGATGCTTCTGATTAATCCCGCGGCAGACATTCCCATAGTACAAATATCCGTATTGAACAGTCAAGATCCAAAGAAGCATTATGAATTAGGCGAAGCACTTCAGGAGTTCCGCAAAGAGGGTATCGCTATCCTAGGCTCCGGTATGTCCTACCATAACATGAGAGAGTTCAGGTTCGGACGAAACCAAGACCACGTTGTAAACACGGAATTCGATGAGTACATAACTAAAGTGTGTACGGCTAAAGATGAGAAATCAAGACGAGAAGGTTTGTATTCTTGGAGAGACCAGCCCGGGGCCACAGAGGCACATCCAGCGCGAGCCGCTGAGCATTTTATGCCATTGATCGTTGTGGCTGGTGCGGGTGGGACAGCCCAAGGCGAAAGAATCTTCAATTGGGATATGGCTAATACGTTTAGATTGAGTGCCTTCATATGGAAAGGCTTGTGAACTAAAAGTTTAGATTCCGGTATTGAAACCTATAATTAAAGCATTCTTTGGTAATGGGTATAAGTTTTTTTATAGCAGAACTCGAGCATTGAAGTTGATTGATAAGAAATATATATCGCGTTTAGTCTACAAACATACTTTTTCTTCATCTATTTATGTAACACAGATAAATAACGGATTTAATTAGGTACAAAGATATGCAATATAGGATTAATTAAAATGTCGCTCAAACCAAATAACCCTTCACTAGATAATATTGAAATTTAAAAACGATTAGTGTATATAAAATTTATTATTGACGATAAATAGAACCCTTAGAATTAAAGTGGCTTAACTAGAAATGTAAAGACAATATGAGTTTTATACATTGAACGCCTTACATAAATGCATTCTATCGGATTATAAAATTGACAATTCTCATTTAGTTTTACTGGTGGTAGAACTTCTTGTAAGTCCACACTGGTAGGCACCACCACCCTGCCTATTTCTGCTGTGAAGCAGTAATGCGTTTCGGTTTGAAGAGTGTGGCAGCCGTTGTAACTATACTGAGACCTTAGAACTTATATCTCAAGGTGGGTTGCGCATTTACGTTGTAGATGTCTATAGGCTCCAGGAACCACTTAACACCAGGTGGGCTGTGAGCTCGACCACACATCTATGCAATAAAAAAAACATAATAACCTTAGTTGTGATTATTGTTATATAGTGACTTGTAAAATTGTCACAAAAGTGCCTTTTCATTAGAACGATAATTTTTGTCTGTTTACATAAATATTAGCATGTATATTTTATTAAATCAATGTTTATAGTTTATTATACAAGAATTAAATGTTATGCAAATTGGTGTTTTGTTTCATTTTTCTTTTTTTTTTAATTGTATTTTTTGACTTGCTTTTTCGATTATTGTAAATATTTTTAATTATTAAAAAAAAAAAAATTGAGAAAAAACAAAAAAAACCCGCTGAGTTTGTTTCGTCGGTTCTTCTCAGGACTGTGGCTTTTTTTGGAACCGGTGGTAGAGTTAACATTGTTATTATTATTTTGACATTCAATAAGTGTGTTATTCTGATAGCTAAGTTGAAATAAATGATTTTGAATTTTGAATTTTTTTGTTTTTTCAAATTCAAGAGCGACGGGGATTGGCTGCAGCAGGTCACTGTGCTTAGTGAGAGCTTTTTAACGTTCTCGATAGCGTAAAAGTTAACTCAAATTTGTATGCGGAATGTATCTTGGAATAGCGCCCCTAGCGGCAAACGTAGGTAAACGTTCCAACTCCATACAAATTAGAGTTAACTTTTATGCTATTGTGAACGTTAGAAAATTTGCACTAAGCACACTGCTTTTCATTTTTAAGGACTTGATAGCCGTGACGCCTTGCAAAAGCTTGAAAGCTACATATAAACGAAAAGAGAGAAAACTACATTTACGATATAATCTCGATTTCCTGTTTTAATGTCATCATATTGTTTCTTATACTACGCCTCTAGCGGCAAACGTAGGCAAACATTCTAACTCCATACAAATTTGAGTTAACTTTTACACCGGTCACTCACATGCCCACGAATACGCAAACCCGCAAGTGTAGTACGACATTTGCGAATGATTATGCAAAGTTTTCGCTGCATTCGTGGTTTTCCAAGCTGTGTCGGTTTTTTAACAAACATCAAAGCGCGCGAACCTCGAACCTTCGCGTAGTCTCCCACACATTCGCTTGCCCAGTTGCGCCGACGATTGCGAAGGTAACGGACGTATCGCCATTTTCATAGTTCGTGACGTCTACTGTGTAGCGTATCTTCATCAAAAGAAATCCCATAAAAACAGCATGGCTGTTAATGATGTCTGGGAAAGAATTCAAAACTNATTGGTAAATCAGAAAAACGAATTATTGACTTTGTATTCCATTGGCAGTCACAAAACTCTTCGGAACGAAATCTTAGATAAATAACAGGTTAACTATTAACCTTTATTTAGTGAAGGTTTTGAACCGTATTCTTTGAAGGAGACGATTATATTCAAATCAATCTGTATTGACATATCAATAAAAATATTTTGTCCAAATGCACAGATTGTCACCTTTGATAATAGACGACTCATATGTGTGTTGGAACAGCGCTCCTAGCGGCAAACGTAGGCAAACTTTCCAACTCCATACAAATTAGAGTTAACTTTTATGCTATTGTGAACGTTAGAAAACTCTCACTAAGCCCATTGCTTTTCAGTTTTAAGAACTTGATAGCCGTGACGCCTTGCAAATGCTTGAAAGCTACATATAAACGAAAAAAGTATCGCACATAAAACATACTGTTATTGTGTATTGTATCAATAAGTAAATTGATTAGATTTTACTCTTCTACCCACTTATATAAAGCTCTCCCTCTTTAAGAACCGTTAGCTGGTAGATAACTCAATAGTTGAGTTAAGCTCGCCATTTTATAATTTTTCGCAATTATTGTATTGTATTAACTATGTGTACAATAAAGAATAAAACTACATTTATGATATAATAATCTCGATTTCCTTTTTTAATGTCATCATATCGTTTGATCAATTTGAGTTAACTTTTACGCTATCGAGAGTTAAAAAACTCGCACTAAGCAGACTGTAAGACAATCGTTTTCGCATCGAGAAATTCCTTAAGAAGTGTGTTGCAGTCGTGTGCGATGCTAGATTTAGTACAGACATAACCTGCCTACACAGTTCAGGTTTTTCAAAGTAGGCATTTTGACTGACTCGGTCGTGTAGTGGTTAGCGGTCTTGACTGTTGTGCAGAGGGTCGTAGGTTCGATTACCACATCGGGCAAAGATGCGATAGGCAGTGTACAGAAATGTTGACTAGTTTTTTTTCTTTTTCTACCTGAGCTGATGGTCTTGAGAGATCTTGAGAGACCATATCAGCGTCACCGAGCTAGTAGGTGAGTTCACGGGGCTAAAACCTGACTAGGTACGTTGCTAACACGAACCCTAGCAAGAGCCGTGCTTCGCAGAATCTACCACCGGATCGGAAACGCGACTCACTGAGAAAATCCAGCGAGAAACTCAGTGGCCCTTACTTCTATCCTCCATAATTATTTGTTGTCCGCTATCTCGGAATTTTAAGAGTATTTATTATCTGTGCCACGAAAAAAATTAAAAAAAAACGCGGAATAAACTGTAAAAAAAGTTTTTATTACACTTACAAAAGAAATATTCTCAATGGCGGTCTTATCACATAAGGATCATTTGCATGTTATTAAGTAAATACGAATCAGATAATGATTCACCTCTTTATCGGACTTATCTAAAATAATTATTGTCACACAATGACTTGTTGCATTATCATAAAAATGCTTTTTCATTTATAATAACAGTTTTAAATATTAAATAAATATGTAATACATTCTCAAATCTGTTGGTAACGTGTGCATAAGAATTACCTACTTTTCGTCGTCACTAACTGATACTGATATATAACCTTAGGGCAACAATATTTATTTTATAATGAGGCCTTTGCGTCTTTTCCCACGCATGGAACTTGTTTAAAGTAACATTAATAATATTTATGAGATTAGTACAGAATACGGCTCTGTTGATTTTAGTATTATAATAGCAGATAAACGCACGTTTTTTTTAAATAATGAAACCTTATTTTCTTATTGTATTTATAATTCTTACTGTTCGCCTGATTTGCTCCGATATACTAACGGTACTTAGGATGTATGGTCAAACATCACTCGTGGATAGCAGGAGAGTTCCAATAAAAAAATAAAAAAAAACAATTGTCAAAATTTAAAACTGAAACCTTCTCTTTCTCTCGCAAGCCCGATCTATATATTTGTCTCTTTTTAGTGTAGTTTTCTCGTTACATTGATTTTCGAACAGAGCAAAGGAGGTTTCGCTTCAAAACAAACCAAATTGGACCGAAACAGAAAATAAACAGAGTGAGAGTAAACTTTATTGCAACCCGTAAAAAAAATTCAAATTCAATTCAGTCAATGACCATGTTAATTTGAATTAATTGCGTTTTCACATATCGACGCTTGAAAGGCAAACATGACTAAGCGACAATGCGTGAACTTTACAGTAGACTAATTTAAAGTTGAAATACCTGAAAATAAAATTTATTTTAACGAATCTAGCTGTAGTAGAATCTAGCTAGTAGCTATAGGATTGAAATTATTTTAATAGACCTAGAAATATATTTTTTTTGCGCATCGAATATGGTTATTGCCTATCATTAATGTACAAAGTAGTTTTTTTTTTTCTTAGATGGGTGGACGAGCTCACAGCCCACCTGGTGTTAAGTGGTTACTGGAGCCCATAGACATCCACAACGTAAATGCGCTACCCACCTTGAGATATAAGTTCTAAGGTCTCAAGTATAGTTACAACGGCTGCCCCACCCTTCAAACCGAAACGCATTACTGCTTCACGGCAGAAATAGGCAGGGTGGTGGTACCCACCCGCGCGGACTCACAAGAGGTCCTACCACCAGTAAGTTATTGTCGCTTAGTCATGTTTGCCGTTCAAGATTATTATTATTATTATGTAAAATTCTGAGGAAAAAGAAAACCAGCTGTTAAGCATGGAATAATTAAGCTAAAAGCAGAATCGTGTTACAGCTAGATTAAATGCGCTATTACTGTCACGCCACAATATACGTCAAATTTTTTTTTTATTTTATTGCACTAAATCGAATGCATGTTAATTGTTAAAAACTAATGTTAGTTGCACCTAAGCCGCAGTTAGCTAACAAATACGCCGTAGACATACCGACGGCAACAAATTTGAAATATTAAATCATCAACAACATTTTTAGAGTCCAGGTATTATTTGTATATAAATACTTAAAGATAATAAAATTGTTACGCTGGTAAGAGTAACGCCAATGTATCGCCGAATAGTCGAACGAATATCGAAGGATCTAGTAGCACCTAGATCGCTCGAGAAGTACAACGCCATCTATTGTCAGATAGCGGAAGGACAATACTCGAAATGTGTGGAATATACTCGATAATTCTAGGGATGTGGTATCGGCTATAAAAGCGTTGTAGAGATGGCACGCGGTTAGTTAGTAATTCGAACTATTCGAAGCGATACAGCGAACAGATCACCTGAAGCGAAGCGGAAGAAGCGAATTGAGAATTTTAAAGTGTTTGTGAAGGGTTTTAAGGGTTCTAAGTGCTAATGCAGTGTTAAATTGTAATTCAGTAGAATTTTTATTTATCCCGAAACCCAGCGCGTAACAATATACTCCAGAACGGCGGCAATATAGACTGTGACGTAGCAAATGAAATAAACGCTGGTTGGGTGAAATGATGACAGGCCTCCGCAACAGCATGCGATCGTAGAATGCCCCTCCAGCTCAAGGGAGAAATTTACAAAACGATCATTAGACCTGTCGTGCTGTATAGATCTGAATGGTGGGCGACGAAAGTTAAGCATGAAAGAAGAGTGCATGCGGCAGAGATGCGATGTTGAGATGGATGCGTGGAGCGACAAGAATGGACAAGATAAGGAATGAGTATATCAGAGGAAGTGTGAAAGTAGCCCCGGTGATTGACAAATAAAAAAGCGGACGGTTAGCGTGGTGTGGACATGTGATGCGTAGATGCATGTGACTAGGAGATGTACGGAAATGGTAGTGCAAGGTAGAGGGGGAAGAGGTCGACCGAAGAAGATATGGATGGAGTGTGTGAATGACGATTTGAGAGAAAGAGGAGTGAGTGTTGAGATGACGGCTGATAGAAGAGAATGGAAGAGAAAAATTAGCTGTGCCAACCCCGCCTATTGAGATAAGATGAGGAAAAAGAAGAATAAGAAATAGGTAAAGACAAAAAAGCACGACGGGTAGAAGGCTGTTTGGTTTATGAGACATTTTTGCAACGTTACATATGAGTCATTAAAATTTAAAATTTGAAAAAGAAAATTATAACAAAAAAACTTCTTTAACTATTTGAATAGAGTTAGCTTAATTGGTCATCACTGGTGGTAGGACCTCTTGTGAGTCCGCACGGGTAGGTACCACCACCCTGCCTATTTCTGCCGTGAAGCAGTAATGCGTTTCGGTTTGAAGGGTGGGGCAGCCGTTGTGACTATACTGAGACCTTATAACTATATCTCAAGGTGTGTGGCGCATTTACGTTGTAGATGTCTATGGACTCCAGTAACCACTTGACACCAGGTGGGCTGTGAGACCGTCCACACATCTAAGCAATAAAATAAAAAAATTGAAGTTCAATTAAAAACATCGAACACAGTGCGAGTTTTTTAACGTTCTCGATAGCGTAAAAGTTAACTCTAATTTGTATGCAGTTGGAACAGCGCTCCTAGCGGCAAACGTAGGCAAACGTTCCAATTCCAAACAAAGTGATAACTTTTATGCTATCGAGAATGTTTAAAACGTTAAAAAACTCGCATTAAGCACACCGGTCGATACCCGATATCTATAAATGAACTGCACAAATATTCGGTATTCCGACGCTGGGCACTTTATACGTATTAATAGGGAGTCGATCTAACGATGGTTTGCGCCCAAAACGTGAATACACTTAATATATGACAGACATAATGCAACAAAAATATTTTATTTTATTGATTACTAGCTGTACCCGTCCGCTTCGCTGCGCATTTAAAATTAACATTGTTATTTCTCACCCCCACAAAGATTCTCGTCATTAACGCCCCCGCAACTGGTGTAGGGAGTCCAACACTCATATAAATATTAGCCTATCCATTAAGTACATGTATTTTCTACATGGATACCAAGTTTCAAGTCAATCGTATGCATGGTTCAGTAATTATAACGGAACATACGTAAAAATCACTGTAGATTTATATCTTAGTATAGATAACCTGATTTAATTGTAAAAGTTATCGGTATATTTTTTTCACGATAGTGGAATGCACGAAGAGAAGCCGCCATTTTGGAGGAAGACCATAGGTTGGCTTTCGAAATGTCTAGTGGATTGCGGGAGAGACTTTTGCTTGGAGACTAGCGTGCACGGATTCAAGCATATCGCCGCACCACGGAGACATTGGAGCGAAAGGTTGATGTTATCAGGAGCCAGGGGTTCTTGGCAAACTAACGGCTTATCAATAAGACACGCTCTCACGGCCAGAATTTTTATAGGTCGCCAAATACTTGTTTAATTAAGATATTAATATCACTCTTTGTTATGTGTTAAAAAGCTCGGTAGGCAGCGGTTTGGCTCTGCTCCTGGCATTGCTGAAGTCCATGGGCGACGGTAACCACTTACCATCATGTGGGCCGTACGCACGTCTGACTACAAAGGCAATAAAAAAAAAAGCGAAAATATTTTTATATTTTTCATATTTATTACTTCCACATAATATTATTGGTGAATTTTTTCTATCACATAAATGATTTTCTTAGGGACGACATTGAAAATAAATGGATTTTTTAATTATTAGTTGAATTATGGATGAATGAATGGTAAATTATATAATATCATAATATCTAGCACCGCACTAAAATTCGCATGTCAAATAATGACAAAGCATAATACGATACTAAACAGTTAATAAACCACCGTTTCATTACACATTTAAACCTGAAGAAACACTAAATAGACAAAATAAAACAAATCACACAACTTCACTCCTCGCGTTCCGCCAAAAAGTCAGTACGCTTATCAGTCTATGGTCTCCACAGGTAATAAGCACTTAATTTATTAAACGTTATGTTTTTTTTTGGAACGAAGTTCCTTATCGCGCTTTGTGAAAGGAGGCTAGACGGAAAAAATTCTTACGAAAAGTTGTCACGACACTTTTTAGATCCGTCATTCTGACCAATCAACGTGTAGGCGCTTATCGCGTGATATTGCTCGTATCCGATTGGTCCGCGTAATGAGTACAGTTTCTCGAGATAGCGTTTCAACAATAGTAATTTAGTTCATAGTATTTGTTTTTTTCTTCTTCATAATGCCGTAATTTATTATTATAACTTAAAAAAAAATTACAATTCCTTCACTAATTAATCGAAAGGAACTTCGTTCCATCCGGGTGTCCCTTGACACCTCTGAAGTTTTTTTTATTGCTTATTTCCCTTAATTGCCCAGGTTTCTGTGGGTGGTAATAACCGCTATGGCGCTGTGGTGTGCGGTCGAAGTGTCCATGGACCAGTGGCACAGGTACAACGAGAACCCTACCGTTGTTACACTGGAGAAGGACTTCAGATCCTGGACGTTCGGCCTCCCAGCGGTGACGGCTTGTCCCAAGGTGATCCTTTGAACTGATTCTTTGGTTACAAAGCTCCAACGACGTTCGAAAGAGGTGATCGCTCATAAAGAGTGACCCATAATGTTTGGTGGTCAAAACATTTATCACCCGTTGTTAAAAGAAAACATGCTGTTGGGACTATTTTCTTTTAGGCACCACAAGCACCGGTTACCGTCCTCGAATTAACCCATAGACACAGCCCACTGAGTTTCTCGCCGGATCTTCCCAGTGGGTCGCGTTTCCGATCCGGTGGTAGATTTTGCGAAGCACTGCTCTTGTTATAAAATAAGTAAGATAAAACTTCGTTTATTAGTACTTAATACAGAGTACACTTAACTTTTTTGAACTGAATTTGTTAGAGATTTAGCTGCATTTGTTATAAAATGAAAACGCTAAAGCATGTTCAACTAACTAAATAAGATAGAGCCATTGTTAATACATTTTACGACATTATGGCGTTTAGCTGCCTTTGATTTTATAGGCCTCACTGTTATAGATAAGCAACTCAAGCACTCAACAAAAATGTTTACGGGCGTCGGCCACTAGATGGCTTCGCTTCGATTAGTTTATCATTCCTCGTGTAGATGGCATTAACATAAATATTAACTATCCTATATTTTCTTTATAATGAAGGATTTTGTAAATTTCGCAGAAATCACAAATTGATAAAATTTAATCAATTTTTCTATAACAAATAAAGACTTGTATGGCTTATTAATTTTTTTATTTTCTGCGCTCAGTTTTACAATAATTAAATGCCTTTAACAACATATAAGTTTAGAGGTATCCGCTACAAGATGTCGATAGTTTCGGGGGATGGGGTCGGATTTACTAACAGGTGCCCGAGCTCCTCCGAAGGAGACCTAACAACTCAAGAGCAGATGCTTCGCGAATCTTATCTTTTAAGCTACGACATTCCCTTAAATTACAAATTTTCTTTTCAGAATCGAGTGAACCATACCAGTGTACCTTCAGTCATAAAATCCCTCTGGAGCATTAGTCCTGGAGACCCTAAATACGATTATTACGTGCGCTTTGTCGAGACGGTGGCCAGCTCGGATATATTCAACCTCGACGGCTTCCAGGAGTTCGCTGGCGATGACCAGCTAGACGTGGATCTGACCCGGCTGGCTGTTGATGTGAGCTTTAACTTCGTTGCAGCATCGTCTTTTGATAGATCCCGCAATGCAATGCAAATGCGAACTCCTGACTATATAAATGTATTCTTTTTAATACGCTTTTATTAGCTTCAGACGTATGTATGTTTGTAACGGTAATCTTTGAAAATGATTTTGACCCCCTTCAAAACGTCGGGTTAACTCGAAATTTGGTATACTTATTAAGGATCGATGACAATTCAATATTAAAAAAAAAAATAAGAACGGAAGACAATACATTATTACTTAAAAACTTAAGACTAATGTTACGAAAGACGAGGCTGTAAGGACTCAGTCCATTGCCTGCTTGCAAGAGCAAAACATTAAAAAAAAAAAAAAAATAAGAATTAAAAAAAAAAATTGAAAAAAATGAAATTCGACTAAAAATGACAAATAAATAATAGTTTAAAAAAACTAACAAAATACGCTTTTATAGAAAATCCAACTAAAAAGTAATAAATAAATTTTAATAAATTTAAATTAAGCGTAGTGTAAGAAAAAATGATTTTATTGTAAAAAAAGCGTGGGGTGCATGGTATCAGTAGTTATAAATATTTTATGAACAGAGATATGAGTAGAAGGGTTATTTTGATAATATCCTGAAAAGCACCCCACGCTTTTTTACAATAAAATCATTTTTTCTTACACTATTTTTAATTCAAATTTATTAAAAGAATTTTCTATTTTTTAGTTGGATTTTCTATAAAAGCGTATTTTGTAAGTTTTTTTTAAACTATATTTTATCCAATTTATGTTATAATTTTCCTTGCATTATCCTTTTCACAAGTTAAACAATTTCAATATTAAATAGTTCAACTTAACAAGATTACGTTAAGTTTTTATTTAATTATTGTTTATGTGGTTGGACGAGCTCACAGCCCACCTGGTGTTAAGTGGTTACTGGAGCCCATAGACATCTACAACGTAAGTGCGCCACCCACTTTGAGATATAAGTTCTAAGATCTCTGTATTGTTACAACGGCTGCCCCGCCCTTCAAACCGAAACGCATTACTGCTTCACGGCAGAAATAGGCAGGGCGGTGGTACCTACCCGTGCGGACTCACAAGAGGTCCTACCACCTTATCATCACTTCTGTCGGGCGTTCCGCGTACAATTTTTGCAACAAACCTTACAATAGGCTTATAAGAACCATTAGATTAATGATTATTGACACAAGGAGTAAGAGGACGCTATATGAGTCGTCTATTATCAAAGGTGGCAATCTGTGCATTTGGACAAAAAAAATTTAGATTTATTTGAATATAATCGTCTCCTTCAAAGAATACGGTTCAAAACCTGCATTAAATAAAGGTTAATACTTAACCTGTTATTTATCTAAGATGTCGTTCCGAAGAGTTTTGTGACTGCCAATGGAATACCAAGTCAATAATTCGTTTTTCTGATTTACCAATCATTGTCCAAAAGTCAGATTGCCGCCTTTGATAATAGTCGACTCATATAAACGTTCACTATACCTATTTAGGTATTACCGGAGGTTGCAATCAAACCGATAACGTCAGAGGACGCGAGGACTGCCCTCTTTAAGTGGACCAGGGTCATCACCGAAGCTGGGGTTTGTTATTCAACTAACTCGCTCGGTATAGCGGACGTCGCTGTCACGTGAGTAGCTGACGTAACTCTGCGACTCTTTTTTTAATACGCTTTTATTAGCTTCAGACGTATGTATGTTAGTATGTAACGGAATCTTTGAACATGATTTTGACCCCCTTCAAAACGTCGGATTAACTCGAAATTTGGTATACTTATTAAGGACCGATGACAATTCAACATTAAAAAAAATTGAAAAAAATTAAGTTCAACTAAAAAATGAGAAATAAATAATAGGTAGTTTAAAAAAACAAAGAAAATACGCTGTTATAGAAAATCCAAATAAAAAATAGAAAATACTTAAATCTTAATAAAATTTGAATTAAAAATAGTGTAAGAAAAAATGATTTTATTGTAAAAAAGCATGGGGTGCTTTTCAGGATTTTCTCAAAATAACCCTTCTATTTTACTCATATCTATCTGTTCATAAAATATTTATAAATACTGATACCATGCACCTCACGCCTTTTTTACAATAAAATAATTTTTTTCTTACACTATTTTTAATTCAAATTTTTTAAGATTTATTTTCTATTTCTTATTTCGATTTTCTATCCATCATCACCTTTCCCGAATAGCATCAGCACATATGATTCTTTATTAGAGAACAATCCCTTTCCTATACATCATCATCATCATCATCATCATTCCTTCCTATTACCCTCTGCTGGGGTGTAGGGCTCGAATCAAATTTTTCCATTTACATCGGTCTTGGGCAGTCTGTTCTAGCTCCTCCCACGTCATGCCCAAGACCCCTAGCTCCTGCTCCACCGAGCGACGCCAAGTTGTTCTGGGGCGGCCTCTCTTCCTCTTGCCAGACACTTTCCAGGTCAATGCTCTCTTTGATAAGTGGGTATCGGGCTTTCTCAAAATGTGACCAATCCAATGCCATTTCCGCGTGCGGATCTCCTTCTCCATTGGTGTCTGCTTAGTGATCCTCCATAGCTCTTTGTTACTAATCTTCTCAGGCCAAAAGAATTTTCCTATACAGTCAGTCCTATTCCTAATTCCACACGGCACGGTTGTCGTCATTGCCGTAAATCTTGGTATGTCTATTTTATATTAAAATATATTTTTTTAAAATATCTTTTCTCTATTCCGTATAACAATACGCACGGTTTACGGCTCAGCTTACTGGTGGTAGGAACTCTTGTGAGTTTGCACGGATAGGTACCCACTACCCTGCCTATTTCTGCCTTGAAGCAGTAATGCGTTTCGGTTTGAAGGGCGAAGCAGCCGTTGTAACTATAACCTTAGACCTCATATCTCAAGGTGGGTGGCGGCATTTACGTTGTGGTGTGGTACCAGGTGGGCTGTGAGCACATCCACCCACATAAGCCATAAAAAAATTGATATTTAAGTTGGCGATACAAGGGAATTAGAAAGATCTTTAATTCGAATCGGATTTGTCTTGCTTAAATAAGAAAACTGGCCCGTTATGACACTATGTCTGTCTGTCAATAGCTCTGACATTGACAGTAAATAGTAGTCTAATAAAACCTGTATTCCACAGGGTTTCAGATTCGAACGTCACGCTGAACTATCCGATTGGCTGCAAATACTCTTCGCAGATTTGCTACGTGATGTTTGAAGTCGCCGAACCAATTGATGTACGGAATTTGAGTTGGCTTTTGGGGGCAGAAGTGACTAAAAGACAATACTAATCATTGTCAGAGTCAATAACACACTTTATGAACTTTATATTTAACGGTTTTTTTATGACGATTCTCAGAGGCAGAAGTGATTAAAAGATAATCCTAATCATTGTCAGAGTCAATAACACACTTTATGAACTTTATATTTAACGGTTTTTTTATGACGATTCTCAGAGGCAGAAGTGACCAAAAGACAATCCTAATCATGGTCAGAGTCAATAACACACTTTATGAACTTTATATTTAACGGTTTTTTTATGACGATTCTCAGAGGCAGAAGTGACTAAAAGACAATCCTAATCATTGTCAGAGTCAATAACAAACTTTATGAACTTTATATTTAACGGTTTTTTATGACGATTCTCAGGGGCAGAAGTGACAAAAGACAATCCTAATCATTGCCAGAATCAATAAAACACTTTATGAATTTTATATTTAACGGTTTTTTTTATGACGATTCTCGTGTGTGGTTATTATTACGGAGTAGGTGCCTATTTAAGTCGCGAAGCAGTGATGCGTTTCGCTTTGAAGGGTTGGGCAGCCGTTGCTGAAAACTAAAGTGTAGCCCTTTGACTGTTGTGTAGGCGTACGTGGGGCACTGAAGTAATTATATCGATTTCTCTGTTCGATCTTCTTATTAAGGCGCAGAAATATCTAGTACCTGGACTCTGGGAAAGGCGAATCCGAAGATCATCACCATCATCAGCTCACAGTCGTCCACTGTTGGACGTAGGCCTCTCCCAATCCACACCACTGAGCCCGGTCTTAGGCTCTCCTCGTCCACTTCTTGCCGGCCACCTTTCGGAGGTCATTGCACCACCCAGCCAGGGGGCCTCCCACTGGACGCCTTCAGCTCTAACACTAGGAGCAGGCTTAGGGACCCCGGTAACCGTACTCGTCGAACTCGACAAAGAGGTCGACGTGCAACCTAACTCATGAATCAACTCGCTGAGTTTCTCGCCGGATCTTCTCAGCGGGTCGCGATTCCGATCCGGTAGTAGATTCATTGGCGAAGCAGCTGCTCTTGAGTTGCTAGATATCCTTCGGAGGCACTCGGGTAGCTGTTAGCAAATCACACCCCTCCTGGCTGAGCCTCTGCTCGTCCATCTGTCCTGGTGAAACTGGAAAAGCCTCGGGGCCATCAGTAATCATTCAATCATAAAAAAAAAGCATTTACGTCATAGATGTCTATTGGCTCCAGTAACCACTTAACACCAGGCGGGCTGTGAGCTCGTCCACCTATCAAAGCAATAAAAAAAAGTCTCATCCCAATGTCGACGTCATAAATATATTAAAATTTCAGTTTTATGTCCATTCGCCATACGACATAGTGGATGTGGCATCTCAGGCGTCCCGAGTGTATCCTTCATTGAGCCGGAGGTCCGAGCTCACGGTGATGGAGACGAGGTGCGCGAAAGGAGTAAGAGAACTGGCGCCCAGGAGACGAGGATGCTTGTTCATTGATGAACCGACTGATGATAGGAAAAAGGTGGGCTTTTGAAACTATTACAGTAATTTATTCAACAAGCTGTGATTAAAGAATACACTTAGTTTTGGAACGAAGTTCCTTATGGGACGATGCGGAGGGGTACCCTGACCGGGAAAAAACGTCCGTAACGTAAGTTTTTTATTAGTAATGCACACAGTGTACGACTTAACTTTGTAATAACGTACAAAAAATAACATATTTTTTTATCGTTCATTGACCACGATCTCAGAGCGTTCGTTTGCGCATACACTAACTCTTATGCAAACAACCGTGAATGAAGTGTACCACAATAAGTTCGCACGTTACCGAACGACCGTGGGTTGTTGCGAAACCTCCAGTTTTACTTTCTTTATACCTCGAATAGAACTTAAAATTAATATTTTTATAATAAGGAACTTCGTTCCTATCCGATGTCCCACGACACCACACGTCTTTTTTTCCTACCTATCTAGTAACCTCGAGGTGTTATGCTAGATTCACTGAGCCAGTAGTAGATAAGGGTTACGAGGGGCTCACGGGGCTCTAACCTGAGGACGTTGCTAACGCTAACATTAGCAAGAGCCGTGCTTCGCAGAATCTACCACCGGATCGGAAACGCGACCCACTGAGAAGATCCGGTGAGAAACTCAGTGGGCTGTGTCTGTGGGTTAATTTACTCGCCGAGCCCCTAGAAATGAAAATAATAAGGTGTTATAAGGCTTAGTAGAACAGAGCATGAAAGTGTTAAGCCCGCAAAATTATAATTTGCGTAATTACTGGTGGTAGGACCTCTTGTGAGTCTGCAAGGGTAGGTACCACCACCCCGCCTATTTCTGCCGTGAAGCAGTAATGCGTTTCGTTTTGAAGGGCAGGGCAGCCGTTGTAACTATACTGAGACCTTAGAACTTATATCTCAAGGTGGGTGGCGCATTTACGATGTAGATGTCTATGGGCTCCAGTAACCACTTAACATTAGGTGGGCTGTGAGCTCGTCCACCCATCTAAGCAATAAAAAAAGTATATTTTTTTGAGTTAACTTTTACGCGATAGAGAACGTTAAAAAACCCGCACAAAGTACTCACTTGTAATATGTCAGGACGGTTTTGTTTTTAGATCTACAGCGCCAATACTTGCCGACTGTCGTGCAGGAGTAAGAGAGCTGTAGAGCTGTGTGGATGCCGACCGTTTTATTACGTAAACGAAGGTAAGATAGTTTAAAAAAAAAGATCCTTCCGAGACATTCTGAGGAATTGCTCGAGATTATACCGGCATCTCGTTTTTACTATCGCACCGCCCGCCACCGGAGTAGAGTTCATCCATACTACCTGGAGCCATTGCGCTCATCCACAGTGCGGTTCCAGAGATATTTTTTGCCACGTACCATCCGGCTTTGGAATGAGCTCCCCTCCACGGTCTTTTCCGAGCGCTATGACATGTCCTTCTTCAAACGAGGCTTGTGGAGAGTACTTAACGGTAGGCAGCGGCTTGGCTCTGCTCCTGGCATTGCTGAAGTCCATGGGCGACGGTAACCACTTACCATCAGGTGGGCCGTACGCTCGTCTGCCTATAAGGGCGATAAAAAAAAATCTCGGTGCTCTTGGGCACCCCAAGCAGCAACCTGCAACTTAGCCCGTAGGCACGACCCAGCGAGTTTCTCGCCAGATCCTCTCCGCCGGTCGCGATTCTGAGCCGGTGGTAGATTCAGCGACGCACTGCTTTTGCTATGATTTTGTTTGTATGTATATATTTAAATGTATATAAGTATGTATGTCAGTCTCTACTTAATATAGTACAGGAAACCCTAGTTTGGAGCCAAGTGACCTCCTATGACTTGCCTCTGTGATTACTGTATTATATAGTCTTCGATGTATAACTTTCAACCTATTTTTGACAGAAGGCCCGGTCTGCTCAGTGGCAGGAATGGCGTGCTTGAGTGGACACTCCCATCTTTTGTCCTCGACAGGTGCAAAATGCTCTTGCACCCCTCAATGCTTGGACATGGTCTACAGGGAAATCACTGTTAAGGATACAAAATGGTAAAATCATTTGTTTGGCTGTAGTCCGATAAATGGGTTCAATTGCTTTTTTTAACATCTTCACTGCGGAACTGGCTCATATCGGCCTGCCGAGTACTGACTCTCATACTAATTAGGTGCGGATGAAGAGAACTATGTCCTTCTCGCTCGCTCATACCGATTATATCAGGCGTTTGTAAGAGCTCGACACCAGCAGCTATATACTATAAATTGTATTTCTGGTGGTAGGACCTCTTGTGAGTCCGCACGGGTAGGTACCACCGCCCTGCCTGTTTCTGCCGTGAAGCAGTAATGCGTTTCGGTTTGAAGGGCGGGGTAGCCGTTGTAACTATACTGAGACTTTAGAGCTTATATCTCAGGGGTGTAGCGTGCTTACGTTGTAGATGTCTATATTGTATACAGTACGTTTTCGCAAAGTTGTAGGCATTTTAATCTACCCTAAGGCTGGTGGGTCGAGAAAGACCTGCCACGCACTGGTGGAAATATCGTTGGGGGCGCTTTTCGACCCGCCCCCGGACCAGATGAAGGTCTATGATTTTACTTGGCGTAGTCAAGGTGTTAAAAACGCAACGCAAAGCAAAAATAGTAAGAGAAATCGGCATAATTACTTCAGTGCGACGCGTAGGGCACCGGTAACCTACATCGTAGTCAAGGGGTGAAACAGTAGTGCTAATCTCTGAATAAGACCAAAATATTAGAGAAATCGACATCATTACTTCTCTAACAGTGGTGCTAATCTCTAAATAAGACCAAAATAGTAAGAGAAATCGACATAATTACTTCTCTAACAGTGGTGCTAATCTCTGAATCAGACCAAAATAGTAAGAGAAATCGGCATAATTACTTCTGTAACAGTGGTGCTAATCTCTAAATAAGACCAAAATAGTAAGAGAAATCGGCATAATTACTTCTCTAACAGTGGTGCTAATCTCTGAATAAGACCAAAATAGTAAGAGAAATCGGCATAATTACTTCTGTAACAGTGGTGCTAATCTCTAAATAAGACCAAAATAGTAAGAGAAATCGGCATAATTACTTCTCTAACAGTGGTGCTAATCTCTGAATAAGTCCAGAAGGTATGGCGGAGCAGTTACTAGAGTTTCCTTCGAATTGTTTTCTGTCAAGTGTCCTGTAGTTTTTGATTTTTCAAGGGAGCACGGGCCCTTCGTCACCCGAGGCTCGATCAGGTACATCCTCCAAGCCCCAAGGACTCGGTACAACAGGGAAATTGTCTTTTACTTACAAGACTTGATAGGTGAGTTTCGAAACAGGTTTTTCGAGAGGTTTTTGTTTGTTCTTGTGGTGGTGGCCATCATACAACGCAAGATATTTAACAGATGCCTGAATCTTGCTTACGACATTTTCAAGATAGCTTGCATATATAATAATATATTCAAGTTCCGAACAACAACATTTGGCCGATCATCGTTCTCGTCGAACCCGTCGCTTGCGACGAAGGGCTCGACGAGTAAATTAACCAACTGACACAGCCCACTGAGTTTCTCGCCGGATCTTCTCAGCGGGTCGCGTTTCCGATCCGGTGGTAGATTCTGCGAAGCACGGCTCTTGCTAGGGTTCGTGTTAGCATCGTCGTCAGGTTTGAGCCCCGTGAGCTCACCTACTAGCCACGGTTACGCTGAAATAGCCTCTCAAGGCTATCAGCTTAGGTAGGCTAAAAAAAAACAACATCATTTGGACCGTCGGTCTACCGAGCAATATCACCCGCTCGGTGGAAGATCTTCCCTTTGTCCTCTAAGCCTTACCAAATTTCTCAATTTAATATGTGCTTCTGTAGCGTCCGTTGAAATATCGCGAAAAAAAACCCACAATTTCATTAAAGCTCCCTAAATTCTCGCTATCTCGCTCGCACCTCGTACCTCCCGCCATCGGAGCAAAGTTCGTCCATATTATCTAGAATCGCAGCTGCGTTCATCGACAGTGCGTTTCCAGAGGTCTTTTTTGTCGCGTACCATCCGGCTATGGGATGAGCTCCACGGTGTTTCCCGAGCGCTATGACATGTCCTTCTTCAAACGAGGCTTGTGGAGAGTGTTAAGCGGTAGGCAGCGGCTTGGCTCTGTCCCTGGCATTTGCTGATGTAACCACTCACCATCAGATGGTCCGTATGCTCGTCTGCCTCTAAGGGCAACAAAAAAAAAAACTTTTTGTTGATGAAGGATAATGCAAAACGTAATGTTGGAAAAGGTACTGCAGAGCACTTAGAAAAATGTTTTTAAAATATGTTTTTTTATATGAGAATTTTAAAGATTTGCTCATTATATCGAGAGGTGAATAGTTATTTGGTTTAGGTGACACTTCTTTTAATACGCGACATTTATCTATCTAATTAAAGGTGTGTTTTATTTGGTATCAGCATCAACAGTTCGATACTTTTAATTTGATTTTCAATTAAGTTTACTCAATTGAAATAACTGAAGAAGTTTTTTTGGTAACTATGATATTTTTACAAATTTTAAACTTTAAATGGTTTTCCTGTGAAGTTGCAAAAATATCACTTAAATCATTCAACCTTTCACTCCTCGATATAATTTACGGACTTGCATTCCAAAATGGCTACTATTTTTAATCTATGCTTTGTTTATTCTTTTTTTTGTTTAATATAATTAAATTGTATCTATGATGCTATTAACTTTAAGACTACACACTTAAAGAGCGTGAAGCTAACACAATGTTTCTTTGAAAATCTAAATCTGGTTCACTTGTATATAGATTGAATAGTTGTAGAAACAGATGCATAGACCAAGGCAGATCCAGTCCAACATCTTGCCTTAGCAGTGAGACAAAACTTGGAAAAACTTACCATATCCTCATGGTCCAATCGTGCTCCTCAAATCTGAGGATCACGACCACCTCCATCCAAGACTTACATCCTCACGATGTTGCGCCGTCTCATTCTGTTTTTGGCTATCCGGAGAGCATCATAGACGGCGAAATCAAGGGCGGTGACCACATGCCAGTACCACCTATGCCGATACCACAAATACATTATAGCTTGGATGTGTGGACGGGTTCAAGACCCACCAGGTATTAAATGGTTACCGGAGCGCATAGACAAATTAAATGCCGTCAGACACTTTCAGACACGAGACCTAAGTCTCCGTTTTTACAGTACAACGGCTGCCCCACCCTTCGAACCGAAACGCATTACTGCTTCACGGCAGAAACAGGCAGGGTGGTGGTACCTACCTGCGCGGACTCACAAGATGCCGTACCACCAGTGATATCCCAGTTTTCTGTACCCAAAAGGGTTTATTCATAAGCGCTTTTACTATCAATGCGGGACAATGTTTCGCCATGGAGAGGAATTAACTGTCGGCTTCTTCATAATGGCTCAACATTTGATTGTAGTGTCACTAGGCGGCGCCACCGGTCTTTTCTTGGGCGCCAGCTTTATAAGCTTCGTGGAAATCATTTACTTTGTGATCGAAAGAATATTCAAGAGTTTGTTTGAGGATTCCTCCACCAAAAACAACGTTGTTACCGTAAGTATGTTTAGATTTTTTTTGGTTACGACAAAATGGAGGTGGACTGGGGGCTAGGTTACTTAAGTTAGGTTTTTACTGGCTTTAGGTCCTTTTGTGAGTCCGCGCGGGTAGGTACCACCACCCTGCCTATTTCTGCCGTGAAGCAGTAATGCGTTTCGGTTTGAAGGGTGGGGCAGCCGTTGTAACTATACTTGAGACCTTAGAACTTACATATCAAGGTGGGTGGCGTATTTACGTTGTAGATGTCTATGGGCTCCAGTAACAACTTAACACCAGGTGGGCTGTGAGCTCGTCCACCCATCAAAGCAATTAAAAAAATGGTGGGGAATATCCCGCCACTCTGGACCGCGAATTAGGAAAGATTGGCGCCAGAACCGCCGGGATTTTCAGTCAGTGGGCTATTCGGAGCCCAACTATCTTTTTATATCGATCTTGCTTTTCTGCAAGGCGCACCCAGAGCAATTACAAGGCATCTTTACGAATCTACCTTGCGGGTCTTCGAACTGGTATCCGAGTGGGACCCGAAACACTTCGGTGGTGATAAATCGCGGAAGAGGGATCGTCTTATAGAAGAAGTTACATAAAACAAGAAAAAATTGTGACCAATTGACCATTCTACATTTCGAAATTCGACGAGCAATGTAAAGCGTACAGCACTCAGGGGTCAAAATGCAATAAGATATAGGTTGAGTGATCTATTACTATTACTTATTTATTATTTGTTTCAGGTTAAAAAATCAAACCCGTATGAAGCAGACCGAGTCATTGAACTCACGCGCGTTTTGGATGTTCAAAAGAAATACCCTCTTAAATTAAACTAGGTTTTCGCCTACAATTTCGCCTGCGTGGATATATAACAGCCTTTGTCTCATGGCTCAAACATTCTGCGAACCGACTCTCTTTAAAACTTCACTGGTCTTAAGTGGTCATTAAGTGTGGAATGTTTCAGAGTTTATTTTATAATAAAAATAATGTTGAAATCATGGAAATTAAAGTTTATTTCATACATAAAACTATAAAGAAAAGAGTGTTTAACCTAGCAAGTTAAAGGCGTGTTGGGAAGGTCTTCCACTGAGCGGATGAAATGGCTCAGTAGACAGACGGTCCAAATGTCTTTTTTATAGTCGGAAATTGTATATATAGCTCACGGGCTCAAACCTGAGAGAACACTAGTCCCAGCCAGGGCAGTGCTTTGCTGAATCCATCACCGGATCGGAATTGCGATTCACTGAGGAGATACAGCGTGAAATTCAGTGGGCTTGGATTAATTTCGATGGAATCCTCAGAAAATAGATTGGCCGAGCGATAATAGAGATTGGATCGAACTCGAGTCAAATATCAGCCAGCACAGCGGATCGGGTTTGAAACACATGAAGTCAGCGTCGGAACGGTACTTCGATAAGGCAATGCGTCGTGATAATCGCCTGGTCACGAAATTGCGAAGTCGCGAAATCTCAGCTTTTTGACCCCTCAGCTACGGTTCATCCGCTAAATGTTTAGTTCAGAGAGGCTATATTAATTAATTATCTTGCCTTATAAGAGACTAGTCAACATTTTTGAGAAATAAGGCAGTAAAAATATATAAAAAAGGCTCTTTGAATAAATTTCAATTTAATGTTATCAATATTTGGCTTCTTTTGTTGACACGAAGTGACAAGTTATAAAGTCGTCGTGGCCTAAAAGATAAGACGTCCGGTGCATTCGTGTTGAAGCGATGCACCGGTGTTCGAAATACGTACTCAACAAATGTTCACGATTGACTTCCACGGTGAAGGAATAACATCGTGTAATAAAAGTGAAACCCGCAAAATTATAATTTGCGTAATTACTGGTGGTAGGACCTGTTGTGAGTCCGCGCGGGTAGGTACCACCGCCCTGCCTATTTCTGCCGTGAAGCAGTAATGCGTTTCGGTTTGAAGGGTGGGGCNGAAACAAAACAAATATCGAATTATAATAATTTTACAGCCATGGTATATTACTCGTATATAATTCTTTAGATAGCTAATGAATTTGAATATGCAATGTAATGAAATTTAAGGACTTTAATTATTTCAAAATATTTCCAGAGAACTATCAGAATTGTCTGAATATTGTAAAGGAGTTGATGGCCATCATTTTTTTGATGAAAAACTTATGGAACAATCGGACTCACTATCAGAATATAATATACGCAGTGCCCGCTTAATAGGTTTACGTGGTTCTCGATCATATATAATATCATAATCTGGAGTAAACCTGTCTGAGAAATCAGGTAATATTGATAGCGTAGATGCGTTGGGTGTTACTGGTATAAAAGGAGAATTAGGTACAGATAAATAGTCTATTTCAGGAGTATTTGACCCAGAATCTAGAACATGTGAGGCCCGAAACGAATTCAATGTCTTCATTTGCAAATTTATTTGACATAGACGATAATGAAAACAATGCATATCAGCTGTATTTCTTCACTATTTTCTTTTTTCTGTCTATACGTTGCTCTAACTGACGATTTGTTTTTCTGTATTCTGTTTAATCTTGATAATTGCAAACGATATCTAACTAAGCCTGAATCCATGTTTGAAATTTTTATTCTTAAATATATAAGTATTCTCTCTCTCTCTCTGAATAATCTCTGCTTTAAGTCGTCGCAAGTTACGAGCTCTAATAACATTACCTACACTAACACGAGATCTTGCCAAATATGATGAACTTGAAGATGAAGTGTTTCTAATCAAATCAGTAGCCTTAGCTTTTTGCTGTTTTTCTTTTCACGTCTTATTTTCGCTTTTTCTCTCCAAGCCTTCCTATGTTCTTTTGCTGCCTGGGAGTGTAGACTTTTATAATTTTAATTAGACAGACCTTCAGCTTTCTTTTTTCTTGTATCTTTCTTTGTCTTGTTTTCTTATCTCTTCAATTTCTACTCCGCTCAGCTTAGCACGTGTGCGTCTCATGCTCAACTTCTTTTGTTGACGTCTTTGTTTTTTTTCTTCTTCTTAGAGTTGAATTTTAGATCAGAATTCTCGTGGCATATTTACTTTAAAAAAAATGCAATACGAAAAAAAGCATGAACTAAAACGAAGCAAGATATGGACCAACACACGACCCAAGGGTTGAACCCCCTGAACGAAATCAATAGAAAAAAAAAAAAAAACATTATTTATATTATTTACATTGATTAGATTAATATTTTTTTTATTGCGAATCAAATGTTGCCAAAATCAAGCCTCTTTCTAGCTAACTTTAAAAAAGGAGTAGGCCCTCGGTTCGACTTTTCTTTTAGTTCTTCTCTACTTAGACCAACTAAGGTATGTTTCTTACACCTTTTTTGTGGACATAGTCTTTTCAGTGGACATCGTGACCACAGGAAAGATGTCCACAGAAAAGATGTTTTATAAAAACTCTTGCGCAAAGAAGTTAACTTTGAGGTTAGAAATCAAGTAACATGCTTTTCATTTACTTGTACTAAATGCTCATATAAAAATAATAAATAAAAAAAATTATAGATAATATTTACATCTCTATAATTGGAACAGGAAAGAACACTTGATCTTTTACGTTTATGTGTGTTTTGGAATAAAAAATATACTTTCACTCGCACTGGAATCGAAACAACAAAATATCAAACGTCGGAATGGTCACTATTTAGTGATGCCAACAGTTAAAAACATAAGCTTAATGCGGTCGAATAAATAAAAATTTGGTGTCGTTTTATCGCGTCCACAGAAAAGACTCCATTTCATGTAACCATAAGTTTATTGGATTTATTGTATACAGATAGTAACGATATATTTGTTTTATTCTCAATATTATCATCTTTACTATATTGTTTGTGTTACAAGTAAGTAATTTTAATACATAGGGTACTTTAACTATTTTTAAACATGGCTCAAACATTATACTTTCGTCTTGTAACAGTCCACAGGAAGAGATTTTTTGAAGTTTAACGCCATCAAAATGAAGTAATGAAAAGTAATATTTTACAAGATACGATTAAAATGAGTAGTAATATAGTACCTTTACGATTTAAATGCTTTCAAATATTCATAAATTTCCTCTTTTAGATGATACATTGCTATAACACTTTTTTTACCCTTTTTGTGTATGACCCATATAGCTCACGGGCTCAAACCTGAGAGAACACTAGCTCCAACCAGGGCAGTGCTTTGCTAAATCCATCACCGGATCAAAATTGCGATTCACTGAGGAGATACAGCGTGAAATTCAGTGGGCTTGGATTAATTTCGATGGAATCCTCAGAAAATAGATTGGCCGAGCGATAATAGAGATTGGATCCAACTCGAGTCAAATATCAGCCAGCACAGCGGATCGGGTTTGAAACACATGAAGTCAGCGTCGGAACGGTACTTCGATAAGCAATGCGTCGTGATAATCGCCTTGTCGCGAAATCGCGAAGTCGCGAAATCGCAGCTTTTTGACCCCTCAGCTACGGCTCATCCGCTAAATGTTTAGTTCAGAGAGGCTATATTAATTTATTATCTTGCCTTATAAGAGACTAGTCAACATTTTTGAAGGCAGTAAAAATACACAAAAAAGCCTCTTTAAATAAATTTCAATTGAATGTTATCAATATTTGGCTCCTTTTGTTGACAACGAAGTGACAAGTTATGAAGTCGTCGTGGCCTAAAAGATAAGACGTCCGGTGCATTCGTGTTGAAGCGATGCACCGGTGTTCGAATCCCGTAGGCGGGTACCAATTTTTCTAATGAAATACGTACTCAACAAATGTTCACGATTGACTTCCACGGTGAAGGAATAACATCGTGTAATAAAAGTGAAACCCGCAAAATTATCATTTGCGTAATTACTGGTGGTAGGACCTGTTGTGAGTCCGCACGGGTAGGTACCACCACATTGCCTATTTCTGCCGTGAAGCAGTAATGCGTTTCGGTTTGAAGGGTGGGGCAGCCGTTGTAACTATACTGAGACCTTACAACTTATATCTCAAGGTGGATGGCGCATTTACGTTGTAGATGTCTATGGGCTCCAGTAACCACTTAACACCAGGTGGGCTGTGAGCTCGTCCAGCAATTTAAGCAATAAAAAAAATAAAAACGTTGGCGACCAGTGGTCTAGTAGATTGCAGTTCATTTTATATAACCTACTTTTTGTAAAGCACTTAAATAGCGTGTCCGTCGAAGTCATTTGGGGAGGAAATGCAATGCAGTACTATTGACCCAAATATTAGTGTTTTAAATCGTTTTGTCACGAGAACGCGCGTAATTAAAACCGTTGTCTGTTCATTTTGTATTTACGAATACAATATTTTTGTTTATATTTTATGTAGTCATACAGGTCGTGCGTGCGTGCGTCTATGTGGATGTGTGTGTGTGCGTATGCGTGTGTGTGTGTGTGTGTGTGTGTAGTGTAGTGTAGCCGATGTTATTCCTTCATCGTGGAGATCATTACGTGAATATGTATTAAGTATGTATTTGATTAAAGCAATCTGTGATTTTAGGACCTTTAAGTACAGAGTGAACTAGCCCACTAACATAGCCCACTGAGTTTCTCGCCGGATCTTCTCAGTAGGTCGCGACATGCAACACACAGACGAAAAAGTTTGAGACGGTGTAATAAAAGTCTCACTTTAAAAATAAAAAGTCCCAATTCAGAGTGTATTGAAAGCATTTTATTGACGAGATTCAACGAAATTAATTTTTGGCTTCAGGGCTGTTTCGCTTCCATCCATCCAAGTCGCGTTCGCCCCATCACTAGTACCACTACACCGTCGGCCGCTTCAACCGCCGGAGACACGCGGGATTTGTGGAAAGCATTCCTTGCACTAGAAGGTTCTGGAGTGATAAATAAATACTTTTTTTTTAATTTTTTTTGTCATGTCAAGGGCGAAAGGCAATATGGCTTAAGCGATATTTTTGCAAATTAACATGAGAGTAAAGTTAAAAAAATTTGGAAAAAAAAACTCTAACAAAAGAAAAACTTCTTCAGCTATTCCAATTGAGTAAACTTTATCAGAAATATGGAACTGCTTCATACCGAAACGCATTACTGCTTCACGGCAGAAATACGCAGAGTGGTACCTACCCGTGCGGACTCACAAGACGTCTTATTACCACTACGCTTATAACGATCGCTAATGTTAAGCGGTTATTAAGCCACCATAACTCGTTTAAGCTTATAAAGAAGTGCTAAAAGAATTAAATAAATACAATTCGCACAACTTGACAGCTCGCGTTCCCGCCAAAAATGAAAATCATAGATAAAAAATTTAGTTAGTTTACCTTTATCGCCGGCGTCGCGGCGCTGTAATCGCTAGCTGCTCACTTTAGCAGTACCACATCGTCGCATTAGAGAACAGCAGGACAATACAAGGTGTCCGACAACCAGCCCAGAGTATATGGCGATTTGATAAGCATCCCACCACGAGGAAATTGTTATGTTACAATCCTGGAATTGTTAAAAAAAGCGTTGCGCGTTCAAAGTAAGGTAATCACTGGTGGTAGGACCTCTTGTGAGTCCGCACGGGTAGGTACCACCACCACCACCCTGCCTATTTTGGCCGTGAAGCAGTAATGCGTTTCGGTTTGAAGGGTGGGGCAGCCGTTGTAACTATACTGAGACCTTAGAACTTATATCACAAGGTGGGTGGCGTATTTACGTTGTAGATGTCTATGGGCTCCAGTAACCACTTAACACCAGGTGGGCTGTGAGCTCGTCCACCCATCTAAGCAATAAAAAAAAACTTAACTTCACAAGGGGTCTCTGCCGAGTGGTGGTGCCTGTGGACTGATGATGATGACTTCAAACACCATAGGCGCTGCAAGGTTTTGTCTTTAAAGATTCCATACCTAAAGTACATGTTCCATACATGTACAATGGTGGGCAGCGGCTTGACTCTGCCTCTGGCATTGCTAGCGTCCATGGACAACGGTAACCACTTACCATCAGGTGGGCCGTACGCTCGTCTACCTGCAAAGGCAAAAGAAACCACTAAAAAGAATGGATGGACAATTATCGCAAAACCAGAGAACGTAACAGTTGTCATCTGACATCATCGTCGTATTAAGATGACTGCTAAAAGCGTAGAGAGAGAGTGAGAGAGAGGGAAAGGGAGAGACAGAGAGAGAGGGAAAGGGAGAGAGAGAGAGAAAGAGAGAGATATATTTACCTCTTTGTAAAAGTCCAAGGCGGTACAATTGTTGTGATGCCCGTTGACTCCACAGCAGGACCAAGGTGGAGCCAAGTTCGCGTTCATAGTTCTACAAAGTTGTATAGAATTTTGGTAACGATCATAAATTTATTTCGGTCTCTCTCCATTAGTAGCCGTTACATCCTTTTGATTATCTTGCCACTTCTTATGCGGATTTTCGACCTCCAAGCCCCTGTTTACTTCAGAGGACTGTTTTCATTACGTTCAACAGTTCATTAAAAAGTCGGATGGTGGAAATAATGTATGGTATGTGCGACGCGCGGGGGGCAGCTCGTCCCGCCTTCGCCCACCTCCCCGCATTTGTCTGACGTCGAGTGTTGTCCTTGACAAGGTTGTGGTAAATGTTTATGGGCCCCAGTAACCACTTAACAACAGGCGGGCTGTGAGCACATCCACCCACCCATCTAAGCAGTAAAAAAGAGGAAGAGCAGTACTTTGGTAATTCTACCATCGGATCGGAATCGCGACTCTGTGACGAGTGGGATGTAATTCTACCTCAAATAATTCCTCAAATCACTCACTCATTGAATTCGCAGCATTGGAAGCCGAGACGCAGCATGTGTGACCATTGTCCGTCCTGCTCTCTCATTCCTTTCTGTGAAAAAACAAGCGACCCTTAATAGAAGTAGCCATCAGCAGAATTACCTTCTTTTTTTTCCAACCTAAGCTGATAGCCTTGAGAGGCTATTTCAGCGTAACCTTAACTAGTAGGTGAGCTCACGGGCCTGAAACCTGAGTGTTGCTAACACTGACCCTAGCAAGAGCAGTGCTTCGCAGAATCTACCACCGGACCGGAAACGCGACCCACTGAGAAGATCCGGTGAAAAACTCAGTGGGCTGTGTCTGTGGGTTAATTTACTCGTCGAGCCCTTCGTCGCAAGCGACGGGTTCGACGAGGACGGTGACCGGTGCTTGAGGTACCTAAAAGCACCGTTAATGGATCGGGAGGATCCGTAATGACGTGTTTTGGGCGACGTCGACAAATTACCATAATCCTGCGACCACTAATTGATTTTAAGTTAACATGAATAAACAGACATTGGTGTATAAGTAATATCTCGGTAAAGTTAAACCTCCTTTATCACTGTAGACGTGTTCCTGCAAAGTCCTGTGTTGTGTGAAATCGTGTTATGTGAGATCAGAATCCAGTACAAAAAGAATGAGTATTTTTTCTGATTGAAACATCTCAACTATGCCTGTACGTAAATCAAATCAAATCAAATCAAAAAATTTTTATTCAACATAAATGAAAGTACATACTTGTTGAACGTCAAAAGAACTACCGCCAATTCACAAAAACTAGCCTCCGTCCTGAGAAGAAGAACTGGCAAGAAACTCAGCGGGCATGGCTTTGTTATTTTTAAATATTAGATTTTTTTAAATATTAATTTTTACAATGAGTATTATAACGTAACAATTATTGCAATATTGAAATGCCCGGAGCGAGCAACTCATTCCCACTTTGTGCAATCTTCTAGTATCTGTATATGTAATGTTCTGTATATTGTTTACCTATTATACACAGAACATAAGCAGTAAAATTTTGGTTATTCCCATATATTCTGGTTTTTTTTGTGCGTAATTATGTAAATAATATTAAACAAAAAACTCGTTTTCGTGTTGTAGAACTACCGTGTTATATAAAAGGGTTTTGCGGAATTTTTCTTATCGTGTTAGAGTTGAAGCGTGTTGTGAAATACCGTGTTATAAAGTAAGCTGTAATAACAATGAACAATATTGAAACCAGTAAATAAGGGGTCGCGAAATCAAATATCGGAGGCTCTTTTATTTTATTGCTTCGATGGATGAACGCTCACAGGCCACCTGCTGTTAAGTGGTTACTCCAGTAACGTATGCGCCACCCACATTGAGATATAAGTTCTAAGGTCTCAAGTATAGTTACCACGGCTGCTCCACACTTCAAACCGAAACGCATTACTGCTTCTCGGCAGAAATAGGCGGGGTGGTGGTACCTACCCGCACGGACTCACAAGAGGTCCTATCACCAGTAATGCATTTGGGAAAGTGAAGCTTAATGCTCCCTTTTACGATTTAATCGCGATTTTCTCTTTTAATGTCATCATACTGTTTCTTATACTCGTACCACGATTAGATTACAATTTTGCGAGTACGGACTACCATTTGTTTATTTATAAAAAACTAATGGTCCCGCAGTAGTCGAAATTCGACTATAATAAATCGAAATTAAATATTTGTACACTGTTATGACTCTATTGTCAAAGACTATTATACTTCTATAATCACAGATTTCGCCAAGACTACACTTTAGACAAATATTAATAGAGACAAACAATATTTAATCTATTCTCAATTTGACCACAGACTAAGCAATAATAAATGTTTGACAATAAACAAATAGTATGCGTCCGTGTGTGTGTCAAATACATGATAGTGTGTATAATGTTTTTATTTATTGATTTAATCTAATTTCTATGCATAATTTAAATAAAATATTAGCATTGTGCACTTCTTCTCTATACTCTCTATAAGTGTGGAAAGTTTCATAGTCCTCCGTTCGCCAATTTTCTTCCAATTTTCGTAAAAAAGGATACAAAGTTTTTGCTTCACGTATTAATATATAGATCTTGTAAATAAGTACATATTTGTGAGATGGCGTGAGTCTGCGCCGCCCGTGCGTTAGTTGATCCGAGCATCAGCTGTTTTTCATTTTGTATTTCATTGCTGGTTTTTTAATACGCTATTATTAGCTCCAGACGTATGTATATTAGTATGTATATGTTAGTACGTATACTAACATACATACGTCTGGAGCTAATAAACCAGAGTTAATAATAGTTTTGAACATGATTTTGATCCCCTTCAAAACGTCGGATCAACTCGAAATTTGGTATAAATTATTAAGGACTGATAACAATTCAATATTTAAAAAATAAAATAAAAAAAATATAAAAAAAGAACTAAAAAATTAAAATAAATAAATAGTTTAAAAACTACGGTTTTATAGAAAATCCAACTAAAAAATAGAAAATAAGTTTTAATAAATTTGATATAAAAATAGTGTAAGAAAAAATGATTTTATTGTAAAAAAAAGCGCATCAGTAGTTATAAATATTTTATGAACAGATATGAGTAGAAGGGTTATTTTGATTAATATCCTGAAAAGCAACCCACAGCAAATTTTTTAAAATTTATTTCCTACTTTTTAGTTGGATTTTCTATAAAAGCGTATTTTGTTAGTTTTTTTTTAATTTTTATTTATTTTAAGTAAAGTAATGTATTTTTTATGAAACTATCGTTTCTTTTACCTGTACTAACGTGATGGAGAGTAAATAATGGTAATAAAAAGGTTTTAAAAATTTGATTTTTTTTTAAATCTGTATCGATTTTTTTTCCGTCTTATCATCAAATTCAAATTCAAATCATTTATTTCAACTTAGATGTCAGCATAACACACTTGTTGAATGTCAAAATATAAATAACAATGTTAACTCTACCACCGGTTCCAAAAAAGGCACAGTCCTGACAAGAACCGGCGAAACAAACTCGGTGGGCTTTATTTTCTTTCTCAATTTTTTTATTTTTTTTAAATAAGTAGAAATATTTACAATAACGAAAAAACAAATAAAAAAATACAGTTAAAAAAAAAAAAAAATTGAAAAATGAAAAGGCCAGGAACGAACGCCTCATTCCCACGTAGTGCCATCTAGTAAATAATCCTTAACTTTTTTATAATATGCCTTGTTGCAAGGCAAGGTGTCATTAGTACTGCTAGACGTCTTCGTTTTCGGAAGCGGTCTCCTAACACCCAGTATAATAATATAATGTTTACATTTAATACCTGTACGAAGTCTGTCATGAAGTAAAAGAGCAAGGCACATTCCAGCATCAGCAGTAAGATAATCAATACGGAGTACTGAAAAAAAAAAACAACAAAACAAAAACATTAATTTTAAAATAATTTTACGGCGACAATAATCTGCAAACATTTTATTAAGCTAATTCGATTTATTTTAAAAGAAAACGTCATCCATATTCTTTATCGAAATAAGTAAATACAGTTTATACCTATGTAACATTTGTGGTTTGTTAGCGTGTTTGTTAGTATACGCGGGATATTTGTTTATAGGACTGGCAACAAAAATAAAAATGTAACGTAAAATATGGACGCTGAAGAAAATTAAAATGAGTGATTTAAGTATTCAATTATATTAGTTTTATTATAATCAAAACAATGACTGAAAGATCCAACACAAACATTATTATACTCCGAACATATTATTATAAAAGTCAAACACACCAATTCCACAATATCTATAATGTGTACAATGTTATAATATTATAAACTAAAAAAGAGTAAACAACGCTAGGCACTACAAGATACGAATTGAAACTAAAATTATGTTTTTACAATCCATACTAATATTATAAATGCGAAAGTAACTCTGTCTGTCTGTCTGTCTGTCTGTTCCTCTTTCACGCCTAAACGGCTGAACGGATTTTGATGAAATTTGGTATAGTGATAGATGATAACCTAGAAATGGTCATAGGCTATAAATAATCACGCCATCGTTCTTAGGGGGTAGGCAGTAGGCAGATAACTAAATTGAGTTAGTGATTTTTAGTCGTTTTTGTTGGGACTTTTGCTCTTTCACGTATAAAAGGCTGAACAGATCTTGATGAAATTTAGTAAGGTAATATGGTTACCTAAAAACGGATATAAGATCAAAATGATCACGTCATAGTACTTAGGGGGTAGGAAGTAGGCAGAAAACTGAATTGAGTTAGTGATTTTTTTATGGTTTTTGGTGGGAGTTTTGCTCTATCATGCCTAAAGGGCTGAACGGATTTTGATGAAATTTAGTTAGGTGATAGATAGTAACCTAGAAAAGGATATGGGCTATTCATATTCATGCTATCGTACTTAAGGCGTAGGCAGTAGGCAGAAAACTAATTAAGTTAGTGATTTTTAATAGTTTGGTTTAAAAGTTTACCTCATTCACGCCTTAACGTCTGAACGGATTTTTATAAGACTTGGTTAATATAAAGATAGGATCCTAGGCACGGACACAGGCTACTTCTTACGGCGGGAAAATACCTCATTCCCGCGGAAATCTAGCGTGATCGTGTCAAGAAGCGAATGACGCCATAGCTACTGAAATGATTTTGATGTTTTTTTT